AGGGATGACCTTAGGATCAAATCAGTTCTAGGTTCTCAATAACTATATATTTAATCAAGGCGATACGGGGGGGGGGGGGGGGCTCATTGCACAGGCCCAGCACAGAACAGTGGTCATAGCCATGGTCCCTCTTATTGTGGAGTATATGCCCTGGCTTCTCATGTCTTAGGACTGGGCAAATATACTTTAATTACATGGTGGTTTTCAAACCCAGCTGGACACATGCCTGTGGTGGTGACTGTGTTTCGAGTATAGATATTCAAAGCCCACCCAGTCAGGCATGCTGGGAATTTAAAACTCTAGAATCTGCTTTTTTCAAAAGACAAAGAACCATGGGTGGTGATTGTGCATGCCTTTAATTCCAGCACTCGGGAGGCAGAGGCAGACACAGGTAGATCTCTGAGATCCAGACCAGCCTGGTCTACAGAGGGAGATCCAGAACAGCCAGGGGAGGGCTACTCAGAGAAACCCCGTCTCACAAAAAAATAAAAAACAAATAACAAAAACAACAACAACAACAAAGAAAAACCTAAGTAAGTTCTGACGGGGGAACTCCTTCTGTGTATATGTTGTCTTATTGGTTCATTAAATAAAGCACTGTTGGCCAATTGGAAAGCAAGATAGGTGGGACTAGGAGTCGATGAGGATTCTGAGAAACAGAGGCACAGCCAGTCATGATATAGGACTTGGGAGAAGAATTCTGGACCCTTTTCTCAGGTAAGAGAAGACCACCTGGAAATACTCAGATTAGTAGTTATGGGTGAATAATTAAGTAAGGGCTAGCCAATAAGAAACCAAGCAAACAGCCAACAGCTTCATAATTAATACAGTGTCTCGTGTGTTATTTGGGAGCTGAGACAGGTAGGGACCCAGGTGGCTGGTAGGAAGACTACACGTTACAAAGTTCCCATGTATTCTGATGCACATGGTTCAGGCACCATCACACATGGGAGCCAAGGCTTAAGGAAGTTTTTAAGCAATGGCTTACTACACCAAGAGTCTATTATATTTTCACCAAAAGAAAAATTCATAATTATATTTACATAGCATTTACATATATGTGTGTGTATAAAATACATGTATATATGTGTACTCACATGGCCACACATTTAACTTCCAGCAATTTCTCAGGTTGTAAGATTACTGTCTTGTATAATCTCCAAGGTTCTCTCGTTTAATGTTTTTTTAACATTTTAAAAGATGAATGTTCCTAAACATTTCTAGAGTTTCTGTACTAAATTAAGACGAGTGACAGCAGCCAATAAATTTCTCAATAAATTTAGCAGATTCCTCATTAGGATGGTGGAAAATTTAACCTGCACACATATGCTCAGTGACTTTCACATTGTAAAAAGAAATAGTTATTTTTAAACACAGGTCTAAAAATTTGCCTTTGCTTTGAATTAAAAAAAAAAAAGAGGGACAGAAGATATTAATACAATCCGGAAAACCTTAAGGAATTCTTCTGGCATTAAGATGGAAGCTGCCAGGCTGGAGAGATGTCTCAGCGGTTAAGAGCGCTGACTGTTCTTCCAGAGGTCCTGAGTTCAATTCCCGGCAACCACATGGTGGCTCACAACCACTTGAATGAGATCTGGTACCCTCTGCTGGCCTGCAGGCAGAAGGCTGTATATACAATAAATAAATAAAATATTTTTTAAAAAAGATGGAAGCTCCCATGCCCTTCTTAGCTGTTTATTGGTCAGCCTTCTCCGCAGTGAACGCTATCCACGTACAAATGTTTAGACCATCTCATTAAAGGGCTGAAGGGGAGAGGGCTAGGTGCCAGGGGCAACAAAGGAGGTCCCTCTGTGTGAGCAGGGAGTCCCTGAAGTCAGCAGGAAGTTCAGTGTCTTTTAGGTGGGGTCAGTGTATTTGCTACATTCTATATATTTAATGATGCTATAGTCTGCCCTGCACCTGTCTCCACAGGTGAGAAAAAATTTAGACATGACAATAACCTCTTTCATTCTCTCTGAGTCAATGACAGGGATGCCCATTTTGCAAAGTAGCCTTCAAAGTGACAGGCTCCTCCTGGGGCTATCTTTGCATATACTTTTGTATCGGTCAGCCTGCCTCTCAGTGTTTGCTGTCTTGCCATGAAGAGACACCATGATCACTGCAACTCTTCTAAAGAAAAGCATTTAACATAACCGGGGAGCTGGCTTACGGTTTGGAGGTTTGGTCCATTATCATCGTGGTGGGAAGCATGGTGGCACACGGTCGAGACGGGTAGGCAGCAGGGAGGGAGTGAGCCAATGGACCAGGCTTGGGTCTTTGAAACCTCAAAGCCCACCCCCCAGTGAAAAACTTCTTGCAACCAGGCAACGCCTCCCAACCCCTCCCAGCTAGTGCCACTCCCTAAGGACTAAGCATCCAAACACACCAGCCTAAGGAGGCCATTCCTATTCAAACCGCAACATCCCTTCCTTGCAATTCCTTTTTATCCCTGGAACCGACCCCTTTCTAATTTCCTGACCTTCCCTCACAGCCAGCCCCACGTAAACACACACATTAAAATTAGAAGGTAGGATTCACATGTGAGAGAAAACAAGTAGTGATTGTCTCTCTGAGCCTCGGCTATACCACTTAATGCATTATTTTCCGTTTTCATCAGTTTTCCTGGCTATCTTGTTTTCCGTTACAGCGGAATGAAACGCCATTGTGCGTATGTACCACACGTGCGTTAGCCATTCATTTGTGGATGGACATCAACTTGCTGTTGAGAGTCAATGGGAACATTCCTGCATGTGTGGGCATCTCTGTGGCAGGCTACGGGCACACGCCCAGGTGACTCCAGAGATTTTCACAGAAACGAAGCTGGGGAGCATGTTTCCATGACACTGGAGCAAGGATTGAAAGAGCAGCTCACATTCTCCTCTCCTTCTTATGGAAAAACATGAGCTTGCTGTGCAAGACAATAGGAATTGTTTTACCTATTGCTGACGGCTGCATTTGGGTGATTATATGCGTGTATTGTGCGTGTGTGCCTGTGTGTGTGTGCCTGTGTGTGATGTATGTGTGTCTGTGTGGTGTGTGCATGCCTATGTGTGTGTGTCTGTGTGTGATGTATGTGTGTGCCTGTGCATGTGTGCCTGTGTGTGATGTATGTGTGTCTGTGTAGTGTGTGCATGCCTATGTGTGTGTGTCTGTGTGTGATGTATGTGTGTGCCTGTGCATGTGTGTCTGTTTGTGATGTATGTGTATCTGTGTGGTGTGTGTATATGTGTGTGTGTGTGTGTGGTATGTGTTTGTGTGTCTCTGTGTGTCTGTATGTGGTGTGTGTGTGTCTGTGTGTGTTTGTGTATCTGTGTGCGTTTGTGTGTGATGTATGTGTATCTGTGAGGTATATGTGTGCCTGTGTGTGGTGTGTGCCTGTGTGTGTGTGTGTGTGTGTCTATGTGGTGTGTGTGTGCCTGTGTGTGTGTGTCTATGTGGTGTGTGTGTGTCTGTGTGTGGTGTGTGTCTGTGGGTGTCTGTGTGGTGTGTGGTGTGTGTGTGTGTGTGGTGTGTGTCTGTGGGTATCTGTGTGGTGTGTAGTGTGTGTCTGTGGGTGTCTGTGTGGTGTGTAGTGTGTGTCTGTGGGTGTCTGTGGGGTGTGTGGTGTGTGTGTGGTGTCTGTATGTGTTTAATGCATTTGCATTCAGTTAATGGCCTAGATGCCAGTCCAGTGATCTTCCTCAGCTGTCCCTCACTTTATTATTTGAGGTGGTCTCATTGAACCCGGAGCTTGCCATTGTAGCTAGTCTGGCTGGCGAGTGAGCCTGTCAGCATCTGCCTGCCTCCCGCCTCCAGCTCTTAACTTACAGACAACTTATGGGCTTACATGATGGGGAAACACACTCAGGTGGACACTTTACCCATCGAACTGCCTCCCAATTCCTGCTTTCTTTTATGGCAAGACAGGAAGAGAGATTTCTGTGTGACTTTAGAGAGCCCCATGTTTGTCAGCCAACAACCCACACGGGAAGGCCTCGGCAGACAAGGCTTCAGGGGTGGCTATGAGACACTCTTGACAGAGAGATGGGCTACACGGACCTCTGGAAACCCGAAGAAACAGGCACAAAATCAGGCCGCATCATCCTGCTTGACAGCGTAGTCCGACTGCACCACGCCCAGCCAGCATCGAGCCACGGACAATGGTGAAATGACCTGAGCTATGAAAGTGAACTGGGGGTCACCCTGCTCATGTGGGGTGGTGTTTGTCTCCCTCCCCCCTTTATGTGAACCCCTACAACACGTGAGCCTTACTAAGAAGCATCAAAGCCAACGGGCCCTCTGTTTCCATATCCCTCTGTGTTCTCTGAAACATTGGGGGTTGTTTTCCTTACTATCCCTAGAAACTACTTGTTTCTAGTTTCTACCCACAAAGAAATGTTTTGTGGTTTTTGTTTTTTTTTTAATTCTTTCAATATGGAGAAATGTAGCTGTAAGGAGAGAAAGGATGCCCACGGGGCTTGGAAACTTTAAGACTGAAGTTAAGGTACACCAGAACTACAGAAAACTACAGTTGGGCCAGGTGATGACCAAATAGAAACAAGTCGGTACACTGAAAGAAAAAGAAAAAAAATCTACCCAGAGAGCAGGCAATGACAACTGATTGTCTCTCCTATGTGGCAGTTTGAATTAATGATGGTGTGTTTGTCGGGGGAGAGTCTGGCCCACGGGACACACCATCTTTTAGGACCCTGTGCAACACCCCCCCCCCTCCCATCAACTGCTTCCCATCCATCTCCAGTTTAGAGTATTTTAACTTAGAACGCGGTGTGCCAGGACAAAGCCCCACGGTAGGCGGAGGAGAATTGAATTTTGTTGGGCTGGGATGCTCGAGCATTCTGCAAAACGAGCCGGAATTTTCTGGACGTCCATCTTGTGTGCACCACACCAGTTCTGTCATTCAGGCGCCGTTATTACCTGCTTAACAGTCATTCCACCTCTTTCGAGAAGCTGGCTGAGGTTCAGGCCCAGATGCCTGACACAAGAGAGCTGTGAAGCGTTCGTTTAGTTTTTGTTGTTGTTGTTGTTTTAAAGACTTATTTACTTATTACGTACACAGTGTTCCGTCTGCATGCACGCCTGCAGGCCAGAAGAGGGTGCCAGGTCACAACATAGATGGCTGTAAACCGCCATGTGGGTGCTGGGAATTGTTCTCATGACCTCTGGAGGAGCGGCCGGTGCTCTTCACCTCTGAGACATCTCCCCAGCCCCGTGTGTTCAGTCTTAACAGGCTTTTCAAGTGCTCCTGTCTCTTGCTTCAACTATGGAAACCACAATCACAAAGGAGAAGGTGGGTGTGGCAGCCCAAACCCTCAATTCCAGCATTGAAGAGGACAGGGCAGAAGGAATGTTGTGAGTACCGGGCCAGACAGGGTTACCCAGTCCCAAGAAGAAGACAAATGACCCAGGTGTGGCTGTGTATCTGTAATACAGGGCGGTAGCAGGGGCTTCAGGAATTTTGGGGCTAGTTAGTGGTAATAAGGAGGGGGCTGTTTCCAAAACAGAACAGCAAAATAAGCGAAACCAAAGGAACCCCACATTCTGATTTGTCCTCCCATGCTGGCATGCCGACATGAAGGGCGGAGAGGGTGAGGCGATCAAGACCACAACTTAAGAGTGCTAGCAGGGGCTGGACATTGGTGGCACTCACCTTTAATCCCAACACTCAAGAGGCAGAAGCAGGCGGATCTCTGTGAGTTCAAGACCAAGCCTGGTCTACAGAGTGGGTTCCAGTACAGGCTCTAAAACACCATGGAGAAACCCTGTCTCGAAAAACCAAAAGAGAGTGCTAGTGGTAGGGAACCTCCCATGTGGATGACACATTCTCTTACGTTCGTGGAGGCATGGCAAAATCCCTTTTTTACGACATCAATCACTTTGGTCTCACCTGCCCTGTGTTGTATAAATCCTTCCCTTTCTAACAGGTAGGCAGATTGAGGGCCTCAGACTCGGAGCCACTGGCTCTTCTACTTCTCTCACTGTTGTGACAAAGTCGACCCAGACAAGGAAGAGCTTACTTTGGCTCACCGTTTGAGGGTGCGCTCCCGTCATTGCAGCAGGGGCGTGGGGCAGCTGGCCACGTTGCCGATAGAGTCAGGAAGCAGGGGAGCGGTGGATGTTGGCGCCTTTTTATTCGGTCTGGGGACCCCCGGCCCGCAGGCTAGTGCTGTTTCACATTCTGCACAGGTCTTCCTACTTAGTTAATAGTCTCTGGAGATGACCTCACGGAAAGGCTTAAGAGGTTTGTCCCTGAGTCGACGATCACGGTAACAAGTGTGCCAACTTTTGCACTGCTTGTAGGAAGGTCTTGCTACTTTGTTACGTGTCTGTGGAAATGCCCTCACAGAAAGGCTTAAGAGGTTTGTCTCTCCAGTCTCGACAAGCTGACAATCAAGATAACAAGCACACCGGTCTTTGCACTGCTCGTTGGGAAAGCAACCGGGAAGTTAAGAATGAGGTCCAGCGGCCTTTCGATAGCCACACCCCCTTTCACGTGGCCGCAGAGATTCAAAGGGCGGGAGTGCTCACACCCACGGCACTCGGAGACCCTGAGTAGTCACTGGCACTAGGTGAACTGTCCCCGGCACCTGATCCAACTTGAGACCAACACAGGCAAGTGATTTTCTGTTAAACATCATCATCATTAACTTTCAATCATTACATTCACCCTGGAAATTCAACGGAGAAGCTGCTCAGGCAGTTCCGATCCAAATGTCACCGATCTGGATGCTCTGCTCTCCCGTGTAAGGCTCAACAGAGCATACCAATCACCGTCTGTGCAGTGGTGCTGCTGCATCGCTGGCCTTTCTGGGCTTCTCTGACTCCCCCCCCCCCAACGGGTTATTATCCTGTCATCTGGTGGCCGCACTTTCAGGAAATTATGTGTGGCCACTTAGTGACAGTGATGGCATTGTGAAAAAGTTCAGTTGGGATTGTTCCCAGCTCCTAATTTACCTCTTAATCAAATTTGAAATTAAAAGAGAGAGAGAAAAAATATCTGGTTTGGCTCAGCTTCTAAGTGTTTTTGAGAAGCACGGCTGGGCCAGGGGGTATGAAGGAATCTAGCCAAGACCTTGAACCGGCTGGCCATGCTTGGAAGGACCTGGAGAAACCCTACTCGATGTTTCCAGGAGACAAAGGAGTCGAGAGTCTTTAGAGGAGGGGGTCAAACAACTACTAACGGTGGTCTCTGCGCTTTTCTCTCTCCCGATAGTCCATGTTAAACCCTGAGCTATCAGATATAAGAGTTTAGCAATCTAGTTTCCAACTCCAGGGGATTCTAACTCTCTGTCCGAGTCTGTCTGTTTGGGATCCTTCGATATAAAGAGGGTCAACTTTGTCTGTAATTTCAAGGCTTTGTTTGTTTGAGACATTGTCTCGAGTAGCCCAGGCTACACCCAGAGTCGATACATAGCTTAGGGCGAGCTTGAATTCTGACCCTCCCGACTGAACCCTATTGACCATACGCACCTTACACTTTAAATCTATAGGTTGCTCGTTTTAAAAAAATAATTTCTAATCCAAAGGCACGATTCAGTTTTCAACAGTAAAAGCTATAAGTAAGAAAAGAGAGTGGAGAGAAAGCCTTTCACAGAGAACCCCCTCACCCCCCCCAACACTTCCCCAACACTCGCCCCTCCCCCTGCCTAGCTCTTAACTTCTTTCTTCTTTACATTTATTTGCGGGGATGGGGGAGTGTTAAAAACTTTAATTCCCTTAAAGATACTGAGTATTTCACCGGGGGCTAGACGGAGGCTCTGCACTATTGACCAAGTGACTGACTCTCACAGTTTTAAGCCTGAACCAATACCGGAAGCCTCCTGGAGATCCACAGTAGCCAAATGTTTGACTCACACTCCCACCCCCACCCCCACCCCTACAGTACTGTAGGGTGCTTTCTCCCTCCTCATGGCTCTGCTCCAGGAATTCGTGACACTGAAAATTAGCTCATTTTCTTATAATTTAAGCAAGACTTAATTTAAACAAACGCTTCTGTTGCTCTCGGGGACGGGACTACTAGCAGAGCATTAGAAGACCCTCCCACGGGTTTTGTATGCTTGACTGTACACTTGCTCACTGTTTCCAGTTAGTGATTGCTGGGAGTTCATCTCCTGGCTCACTCAGCCCACTCAGCTCCAGGTCTCTCTCGAGCATTTTCTCACTTTTCCTGCTGATTAGCTAGTAGCAATGCAAGTTCCTGCAAGGCAGCGGCCCTCGACCTTCCTAACGCTGCGTGACCCTTTAACACAGTTCCTCATGTTATGGGCGCGCAACCATAAAATTGTCTTCATTGCTACATTATAACTGTAATTTTGCTACTGTTACGAATCGTAATGTAAAGACCTGATATGCAGGGCAGCTGATACTCAACCCCTGTGAAAGGGTCATCCGACCCCCAAAGGGGTCTGGACACACAGGCTGGGAACCACTGCCGCGGGAGATACTGCTTATACATTCTGCTCATCCCTAGGTAGAACCTTAATGTGTGGGTCAGGGAGGAATGGAAGAGACTGTAAAACAAGAAATGAGATCACAGTCGACTTTGAAAACGCAAAGTGAGCTGACAAATATCACAGCCAAGCCCGTGGCTGACATCACATATACATATAACCATATTGAAACGTGAGGTAAATAGCTACTTGTAAATGTGTAGCAACTGTCTGATCCACACACCACTGGTTTTGTTTCCTGCATCTTGGGTGTATATTCTTATATGATATTTTTATGCCATCAGATAAAAATCCAGCATTATTTAAATTTTTTAAAAAAAATTGTGTGCGTATGCATGCGTGTGTGTGTGTGTGTGTGTGTGTGTATGCATGTGCGTCTGTGCACTCGTGGTTGCTTGTGGACACGCGCCTGCACGTGTAGGTGCTTTTGGAGGCTTCAGAACCCCTGGAGCTAGAGTTTTAGGTACCTGAAGCGCTCTGAGCCATCTCCCTATCTGCTCCACCTCCAAGTTAATACCACATAAATGGTTAGGACCGATGCAGGATTGAGGAAACGTCTAAGTTCTCTTTTTCTTTTTCCTTCAAAAGTGAGCTCCAACATAAGACAGTGAGAGATCTTGAATGCTAAGGTGAAGATACTTCTGAGCCCACCCCATGGCACGATCGGGGGTCATCTCTTAGGAGTTCTTTCGATATGAATTTCCTGACGGGATAGAGCAGTTCTGGCCAGGCATAGGTGAGAACTAAGTTCCCACGTACACGCCCCATTTCTGGTGATTTGCACACCTGTATGCAACTCAGCTTCTGGCCTTTGTACATTTCACTCCCGTTTCTCCTCTCTCTCTCTCTCTCTCTCTCTCTCTCTCTCTCTCTCTCTCTCTCTCTCTCTCTCTCTCTCTTGCATGCAAACACACACACACACACACACACACACACACCAGAATCGAGGATACTTAAAATGCCAATCAAGGAAGAGCAATGGAGGATCACCCCTCTTCCCTGCTCTGCACACTGGATCTCAGGAGGCCCAGGATGAGTGGGACCCTGGACTCACTTCCTGTGGTAGGGTTTGCCTGGGTTCTGTCCCCGTGTCGCAAAGGTCTCCCTGCCTCCCCCACGGCGTCCGTGGGAGACCTGTCACGCAGCCACAGGACCTGCTGCATCTTGGTCCAGTCCGGAACTATGATTATTTACAGGTATCTGCTGCTTCCTGAATTGTGGCTGCTCGAGCTTCAGGAACCTGGCCATCTCACTTTCCTGACCACACTGACACCTGCCGAAGCAACAGGGTACTGCATTGCTGGAAGGCCCAGGAAGAGCCTCACACTGCCTTAGAGACCACACAGTTACAACAGCCCAAGAGGAGCCTACAGGAACTGTAGAGTGGCAACCAGTGGGTCCTGTTGTCCAAGAGAAGAAGAGACTTCCAATTTACTGGACTTTTCTCTGCAAGCAGGCCTCTGGTAGCTTCTTACCAGGAGTGGCACTGTGGCAGGGGAGCTCAAATTTTTGTACAGGTTTGAGCACCTACAGGAATCATAAAATAAATAAATAATGATTGACAGCATACCTACCTCCCAGGATGAGAATCTCCTTGAAGGTGGATGCAGTCATCCATTAGGAGCCCCTGGAAGCTTCCTTGTTGATCCGGGGCAATGCTGAGGACACCATCTGTGGGAAGAGTGACTGATGAGTTTGTGGTTCAGAATCTACTTGTTTACAGTAGATTCCTGGGTCCCACTGACCAAATCGGAAGCTCTTGGAATGAACTATATAGGTAATTTCTGTGCCTAGTGACCATTGCTGGGGGGAGCAGTTGGACCAACAGCTTTGCCCAATAGAATGTCTCAGAAATGCACACGCCACAGCCCTACCCGAGACTAGCTGGCCCCGAAGATCTGGAGGAGTCACCGTAGGCTGACGTGACAAACTCCCAGAGGGTACCCCTTGCTCACGGGAGTCTGAAAGAATTTCTTCCCTGGAAGGATCTCTGCCCTGGGTTCCAGTACCAGCTTGGCCTCTGACCAGCTAGGTTATGCAACTCCTCTGGGCTTCATATTCATTTGTTTATTAGCTGGCAAGAGCTGTTATTTGATTGAATTGAGTATCTGTAATAACCCAGTATCGAAGTCCTAACTCCCATTCCCTACAGGCTCACTATAGATGTGGCCCTGCTGGAATACGATGGGCCCCTGAACAACTAATATACTCATGGAAGTGGAATTCGGAGATAGACAAATACGCGAGGAGAATGTCTTTTGAGGACTGGAATTAAATGCTAACCTCTCCGAAGCCAAGAGAGACCTACCTCCCCAGTGCCCTCAGAGAGAGCAGAGCATTGCCACACACACCCCCAAAATCTCACACTCCCTGGCCTCCAGGTTTACACTCCTTTAGTATGGCGTTGAGGAAGACTCTTTGAGACACTATGCAAAGCGCCATCGTCTGATGCTACTACTGGCGGCCGTCAGCGAATGAATATCTGGTTCTGTTACTCCAGTGATCCTGTACACAGCCTCCACAAGGAAGGATTCTACCTCAGGAGAGGCAAGCAAGCACCACGGCTCTCTGCCCTGTGGATTGAGACAGGGTTGGTGGGACACGCCAGGCGTGCTTAGGCTTGGAGCCTAAGAAATAGTGGACAGATGGCCATCATTTCTGGTCACCTCTGATCTGGACAGGAACCAAATGGGGGGATCCAGAGGCAATGGTGTGTTCAGCTCTGATTGAAGCTCGCCTCATCTCTAACGCTCTCTGTGGAGGACACAGTTGCCTTCCGTGACTGTCCCAACCTGTCCTGATCATAAGTAGCATCTCTTCCCATTATCAGTGCCCTCCAAATTTCCAAATGGCCTGTGTGTGTTTCTCTCTGTGTGTGTAAGGTTCACTAAAGCAGATGAAATGGATGGAAATAAGCGAAGTTCTGCTTCTTCAACCCTCACAGCCTCCACCT